AAATCAGTGAATATAACAATTAAAGTGTAACTTAAAAGCCATATCAATAAACACCACAGGCAGAACCTATTTAGCATGTTATCAATATTGACCATACTGATTTGACACAGTATCTTTTAAACCAGTCAAGCACTAAAAAGCAAACAAGCCCAGACCATTGTTGTAAACCAAAATTCAACATTGTTGTTAACACAGTAAATTCTACAAGATTCTCTAATCCTTAGTATTTGTCAGAATCGTGATACCAGTTTCAAAATAAGATGCAGAATCCATTGCAGACTATGGGCCTAGCACGGAATCTTTAAAATGTAAAAGCTACTTGAGTAACTTATGCCATAAAGGACCTTTATATAGCTTTTCATAGTCTAAGAATGTTGGAAAGTTGACTGGCATTGAAAATAAGTAAAAGGAAAACGTGAATAAAAAAACACGTTGATTGGCACTACCTCTTTATTTTTTTTTAAGGCATGAAACAAGTCACAAGTTAATACTTGTATTAATAATGCAAGACAAAGAGTTTTGCCACTGTTTCTTTGTGTGTGAATTCACTGATTACAAAAACCATCGCCTTTGGAAAAGAAAACAGGACTGCACACTGAGATATTTTGGCCTGTATGAACATCACAAGAATCTTTCTTGATACCTTGGGTGTTCTAGCATTGTGACTATGTGGCAAAGATGTATCGCACACATTCTAAAACATTAAGAATGTCCTCAGCAGTACCTAAGGGTCTGATTTCAAAGAGGAATACACACATGAGTGCTTTCAAAAGAGAGAGGTGCAGCAGTGTGTTGTCAGAAGTTGGTAACTGATATAAAAATGGCACTTGGCACTTAAAAGACAAAATTATTTTTGAGTAAACGAGGGCTTGAGTCTATCCCCCACAAGGCAATAAAGATCCACGTCCATCTCTAACTTTTATCACCACATAATATACAATATGAAACAAAGTTTCGAGGGATACTTTTTCTAAAAGGTACCAACTTGAAACAAACAGAGTCGTTAGCCTCCTGTAGGATGCCCAGCTCCAAAATAAGTAAGAAATAACATCCTCAACAATATCACAGCTACCTAACAAAATGTAATCCCCAAAGTCAAGGCTTTTGCTTTTCCCCCCACCCCCCCAACCCAGGGGAGAGGGTTTCGGGCGGAGAATGTGTCAAAAAAGCGAAGAAATAAAAACAAGTTCGTCGACCGGAGACGTCTCTAACGACATAGGCCTAGAATGGGATCGACAGGGGCCCCCAAAAGTCTCCGGCCAGACAGGCTTCCTCAGGTAGGAGGACCGCCACCCGAGCCACAGGTGTCAGCGACAACAGCGAGGACCTAGAACCTCGACGCAGGCACCGGTAGGCTCACAAGCAGAATGCGCAGCGAGATCGCATCACAGGCTCCCGAGTCCCTCCGAGCCCCGATCACGGGGGTCCGGGATCCCCGCGACACTCACCTGTGGCGCAGAGACTCTCGGGAAACCGCCCACTGCCGGGCGGAGGGGGAGGGCCGAGCGGGGCTCCGGGCAGCGAGGAAGGAGGGCCCTGTCCTGTCCTGCCCCAACCACCCTGCTCTGTGCTCACGGACCCAGCACTGCCTGGTCCAACCGTCACGAGCCCCAGATGCTGTTTCAAGTAGCCCACAATTTAAAGGCAGACCCGCCAGGGTCACTTCCGGTTCCAAGGATGGCCTCGGTGACTCCAGCGCACGCGGGGCGACGCCCCGAGAGCGAGGACGCCAGGCGGCGTGCGCGCGCCGGGCGCCAACTGGGCGGGGCCAACGGAGGTGGGCGGGACCGACGGCGTGGGCGGGGCCGACGGGCGCGCCTGCGCAGTCCCGGGCAACCGCCTTCCCTGCCGACAGGTCAGGCCGAGAGGTGGCGATGAGTAAAATAAGTACTACGGCTTCCAGTTCCTCGATGTTTTCCGAAGTGCTTTGCTCGCTTTTCCTCCCACTTGATTTTCTCCTAACCTGCTCAGAGGTTAGAAGAATTATAGTTTTTGTTTTACAGGTGACTGTCAAGGGTCATACAGTTCGTTTATGACAAATCCGGTTTTAGAACCAAACAGAATTTGGCTGCGGCGCTTCTAGCGATATAACATGAATACTATGACCAAAGATATTCGGACACAATGCTGGTGAAATTTTATTTTCTTTTTTTGGTCAACGTTTTAATGCAACCAAACTACAAATACAGTTATGATGTTCCACGATGTTTAGAAATACACGTAATGGACAGTTAGTACTTGTGGACAGGCTTCCCCCAGTCTAAATCTCCAGCCTTTTCCTTCACCTGAGGTGAAATAGACGCACTTAAGACGCGATTTCCTCTAGACGGGCTTGGTAATTAAAATTCTGATTTTAAAGCATCCCTGCTTTAAAAATATTTAACATACTGATTTTAAATCCCCTAATTTAACACAGACTTATATAAAGGCAATTCAAGGGAAATACATCCATTCAGTCCACAGATGTTTATTAATCGAGTACTTATGTGCCAGGTGGCATTGTAGGCGTTGAGTATATACATGGTTAACAAAATAGGATGTTTCATGAAGCTTAAAGTCTTGTAAAATTCTCAACTAAGTAGAAAATAATAGTTTTGCTATGATGCATGTAAACTCTATTATAATGTTAAAGTATAATTAGTATAAGAAAATACAGTGTATCTTTTTGAAATGAAAAAATATTCAAGAAGGTATAGATTAATTACCTTAGTTAGACTGAATTAAACTTTAATTTTTCTAAGAGTGAAAAGATATGTTGAATTATACAGGCAATTTATAATTTAGTTTTAAAACTTCTCAGAGGGCACAAAATGAATACATATTACATGATTTCATTTATATGAAATTCTAAAACAGGCAAAACTAGCCTACATTAATAGAAAGAGGCTGGACTGGGGGCTGGGAGAAATGAGGGAAAAGATTATATTACCAGAAAGCATGAGGAAATGTTTTTGAGGTGGTGGAAATGTTCTGTATCTCAATTAGTATAGTGGCTAAGTAGGTGTGTATGTTCATTAAAACTCATTGAACAGTACACATAAAATGGATACATTTTACTGTACATAATTTATACCTCAGTGAAGTTAATAAAAAAATCCAAATAGTGGCTTACACTACTGTTTCTTATTAGTTGTAGGGTGTATTGTTTCTAGGGAGACTATTCTGTTGTTGTCTTAGTCACTAAAGGTATTCTGTAGTAACCTCTACGTTGAAGAGGTTTCAAACACTCTTATTTTCAAACACTCTTCTTATTTCCTCTATATGTTCATGTAGAGTGGAGGCAGGCACTTGGGAACAGTTGGAAAAAGAAAACGAGTCATTTGTCCAACTTCTGCCTGGGTATGAGAGGTGCCACCTCTGCCCACATTTCATTGGCCAGAGCAGGTCATGTGGCCAAACCTATCTTCAAAGTGATGGGACATTGAGAAACATACTTGTGTACTGCCTTCATGAGTACTACACTAGTCATTTCTTCTTTTACGGTGTGGTTTCTACAACCACCACCCCTCTAAAATGATTATATCCAAACTGGGACTCAGAGAAACTGGAGATGAGTTTTTCCCTGGTGTATGGTGACATAGATTTGGTAGGATCATAAGATACATACAGGGAAGTTAACAAAAATTAGGTAAAAAAGTAGGTGCCAGTAGAGATTAAATTTTATTCAGTAGGTATCAAGGAACCATTGAAAGTTCAGATGAAGGCATACTTTATAAAGAAATAGGAAGATTAACTTGATAACTGTGAGTAGAAAATTTGGAGGGGAGAGAGAATTACACAGAGGGGACAACATGAAGACTGCTTCTCAACATTATGTATTTGCTGTCTCTTTGCCCTCTTTTGGGCTTCCCTGATAGCTCAGCTGGTAAAGAATCCACCTCCAATATAGGAGATCCTGGTTCAATTCCTGGGTTGGGAAGATCCCCTGGAGAAGGGATAGGCTACTCACTCCAGTATTCTGGCCTGGAGAATTCCATGAATTGTATAGTTCATGGGGTCACAAAGAGTCAGACACTACTGAGCGACTTTCACTTTCACTTTGCCCCAGTAGGTAAATGATATAAAGTTACATACTTCCTCCATTTGGCTGGGGCAATGTCTGGCTTATGGTAGGCATTACTTAGATACTTGAAGGATAAATACATTGTCATTAAAAAAAAAAAGAATTCGGAGACACTTTTTACATTTTATCAGAGAAATCTAAAGGACTGTCAGGACTAGTTTCAATCATCTGGTCTACTGCATCTGGCTGTTCTCCTTCAAAAATCTGAGCCATCTCTTCAGGTACAGAATATATATAAGACTAGAAAAGTGTAACCATGATTAAGAATCTCCAAAAAGAAAAAAAAAAAAGAATTCCTTGGTAGCCTACTGGTTAGGATTCTGGATTCAGTCCCTGGTCGGGAAACAGATCCCACATGCCACACAGTGCAGCCACACACACACACAAAGAATCTGCTGAATTTTTATTACTAGATTATGTCACAGTATTTGAAGGAACAAACTGAGATAGATCCTCAGTGCTATCTGAGGATAGTGAGATATCACTATCTCACTAGTGATAAGAATGTTCTTCCTAAATAATAGCTTCCATTCTTCCTAAGTAATATTCTTCCTAAATAATAGCTTCTTCCTTCCTAAATAATAGCTTCCATCACAGACTGGCTACTCCCAGATTGCTGAATGCCATAGGAAAAACAAATCACACCACCTTGAAGGCTGATGCACAATTGCCTATCTCCCCCACCTGACACACATTTTTCTGCATGTGCTCAGTTCTCTCTCTTACTCTTCACTTTAGTTATTTCAGATTTGCACCACTGTCCTCAAGCCAGCCACATACCCCTTTCTGACCTTTCAGCAAATCACTTTATCTCCACCTTCAGAGAAAATACCTGTCCTATTCTTTGTGACCCCATGGACTGCATGCAGCACACCACTCTACTCTGTCCTTCACTATCTCCCAGAGTTTGCTCAAACTTATACCCATTGAGTCAGTGATGCTATTCTACCATCTCATCCTCTGTCGTCCCCTTCTGCTGTTGCCCTCAATCTTTCCCAGCATCAGGGTCTTTTCTAGTGAGTTGGCTCTTTGCATCACGTGGCCAAAGTATTGGAGCTTCAACTTCAGTAACAGTCCTTCTAATGAATATTCAGGATTGCTTTCCCTTAGGATTGACTGGCTTGGTCTCCTAGCAGTTCAAGGGACTCTCAAGTCTTCTCCAGCACACAATTCGAAAACATCAATTCTTCGGCGCTCAGCCTTCATGCTCCAGCTTTCTCATCTGTATATGACTACTGGAAAAACCACAGGTTTGACTATATGGATTTTTGTTGGCAAAGTGATGTCCACGTTTATTAGAGAAAATGGGAGCTATCAGATTGAAATTCCCTCAGCTTGCTCACTGAGACAGAGACTACCATCTGCCCACCAAGTCCTCATTTTCCTAAGTAACAAAGTCTTCCTTGATTAAGTTGGGCTGCTTGGAATAACGACTACATTTTCCAAGACTCTCATGCAGCTAGGTGTGGCCATGGATCTAACTTCTGGCCAGTGGAAGTGTCACGTAGAACTTTTAGGAAGGTACCTTACAGGGAGAGGCCCTGAAAATCCCCCTTCCAGTCACACCATCCTCTTTTCAGAAGGTTAGAACATGGAAAAAACTGGATAGAGTATGAGCAGTCAACTCTGACCATGAATGACCTTTAGGATGTAAACCATGTGAAGAGAGCAGAACTGTACAGATGAAGTATGGACTGGCGCTATGGAGCTGCTATAGCAGGTGATGACTGCCAACTCTAGTCAGTCTAAGCAATTGTTGTTTTGGATTTTGTGTGTGTGTGTGTGTGTGTGCATGCTCAGTTGTGTTCAAGTCTTTGTGACCCCATGGACTGTAGCCTGCCAGGCCCCTCTGTCCATGGAATTTAGAAGGCAAGAATACTGGAGTGGGTTGCCATTTCCTACTCCAGGGGATCTTCCTGGGAATTGAACCAGATACTGTGTGTCTAAACAGTCCTTGTTTTGGGTTTCTTATGCCACATAACCTAATCCTAATACTTTGACCAACATACAAACGTTCTCTATTTCACACTTGCTCTTTCATTTGGCCTGTCTCATTGAAAGTATATCTTGCTTAGTCTAAGCCCAGTTCCTCCACTTGGACTTAAAGATTCTATTTTTTAAATTTTAATTATTTTTGACTGTGCTGGGTCTTTGTTGCTGTGCAGGCTTTTCTCAAGCTGCAGCAGGCAGGGGCTCCTCTCTAGTTGCAGTGTGCAGGCTTCTCATTGTGGTGGCTTCTCTTATTGCAGAGCACGGGCTCTAGGGTATGTGGCCTTCAGCAGTTGCAGCTCGAAGGCTCTAGAGGACAGGCTCAATAGCGGTGCACGGGTTCAGTTGATCCCTGGCATGTGGGATCTTCCTGGATCAGGAATTGAACCCATGCCTTCTGCACTGGCAGGCAGATTCTTTACCACGGAGTCACCAGGGAATCCCCAAGATTTTATTTTTTGTTTCCATTTTATGTATTTATATTTGGATAGGCAATGCATTCACATGGTTCAAATTCATAAGTATAAAAGATTATATAGTGGGAAGCCACCTGATGTGAAGAGCCGACTCATTGGAAAAAGACCTTGATGCTGGGAAAGATTGAGGGCAAAAGAGGGTGGCAGAGGATGAGATGGTTAAATAGCATCACCAGCTCAATGGACATGAATCTGAGCAAACTCCGTGAGATAGTGAAAGACAGGGAAGCTGGGCACACTGCCTGGGGTCGCAAGGAGTCAGACATGACTTAGCGGCTGAACAAGTGCCAGGAAGTTAACTTGGTTTGATTCTCTGTCGGGCAGCATCTCAGATTAGTTTAGTTGTGAGACAGGATGCCTTCCACCCAGAATCTGCCAGTTCTCTGTTCCACCTCAGTATCTTTAGGTAGATTTTTATTCTGCCCCCAAGTTTGTAGTTGTGTGATAATCAAGCCATCAGGAGCTTACTTGGTCACACTAGCAAAATCTAGAACTATCTTTCAAGTATGTCATTTGGTTGACAGTTGGATAATAAACTTGAAGGACCTGAATGAAGTTAAAGACTCCAGTTAGAAAGTTCTTACAATAATTCAGGCGAGTTGATGGGGGTCTCAACCAAATTAGTTTAGCCAAACAACGAGGGGTGAAGATGATGAATCAGAAAATGTACTAGTTAAGTAACTGAATTTCATGAGTCATTACATGGGAAATAGTCAAAGTATAAAATGACCTGCTTAAATTATTTTGGAAATCAGATTATATACTAACATGAAGTGTACATTATATTAGTTAGGCTATGAGTTCAGCAACAGGAAGGAGTGAGCGGCAGGCTCGAAATATTAATTTTAAGGGTATGAAGTAGAATTGCATATATCACTTCTGCTCATACCCCACTGGTCAAAACTTAGTCACGTGGCACAACTAATTACAAGTGAATATGAGAAACACGTACGTTAGTGACGCAGTTGAAACATGAACAGGGGCTGGGGGGTGCTGTGTTAGTAAAAGGAAAACAGAATGGAAGTTGGAGAACAAGAGCAGCCTGCGTCAGCCCCTCTGGAAGCTAGGTACCCTCGAGAATCCCCCTTTCCTCAACAGAACAGATTTAACCCTTCTCCAGAGAATGCAACTCAAAGTCCCACCCAGATTCTGAATCCACCAAGATTTCAGGATCTCTGGGTGACTTTACAGAAGGGAGAAGACTGGCTACTTGTGAGAACAATAACTGCCTGTGTGTTCCAAACATAAATTTGACATCCTCCCTTCAGCCTTCATACACATAAGCGGATACACTGTCTGTGTATTTGCATTTGGCATAACAAGGTATGGTCACAATTTAAGCATGCCAAACATGGATCCAAAATGTATTAAAATGACGAAGCTAATGAACTAGCTAGAAGGAGAGTTCCACAATGGCGCTGGCCAGCGCCACGGTTCATGTGGTAGAAAGAGCTCCCAAGAAGGGCTGCCACAGTGTCGATGGCTGCAGCTGCCCCCCACCTCAATGGGAGACTCTCCAAGACCAGCAGTGTATGTCTCCCATTCAGTTGTCAGCAAGATGGTGTGGCAGTCAGGGGAATAAGCTTGGGCAAACAGAAACTAAACTGTGATGCAGGTCTGCTGAAACCACAGCCAGCCTGGCGGAGAGCTCTTGGATGATGATGGTAATGACATATGAGGGCAAACACACTGTATACAGGAATTAACAGAATTAAAAGGGAAAATGGGTTGCATGGAATCCTTATCACCTCTCACCCACCAAAAATATGCTAGGTAACTAAAAGGACAAATAATTAATAGGAAATTTTTAAAAATAGTAGTAAAATGAATCATAAGCATAATGCAGTTTGCATCAGCTACACAACAGTCTCATATAGACCAAATATAATTTAAAGTGTGTGCAGACAAGAGGATAAAAGGAGACCTAAGAATGATGGTAATACTTGAAAAAGGTGGGGGAAAAAACCCTAAATATTTGTTCATCCATGTAAAATGGATTTAAGGTATAACATCAACATATATATTTGGTAGGCAGTTCATGTGATAAAGTAAAAGACTGTAAATAAAAAAAAGATATTAGCCAATAACTTCACATTTTAAAAATCATAAACTGGATTCAAATGATACTAGAAGCAGAGTTTAATAATTGAAAATTATTAATTTTTTAAACCTGTACTGACCTAAAGGAAGCCTTTAACATGAACTATTTATTGTACTTATATTGGACAAAATGAAAACATTTTACTGGGTTACACTAACTCTATTCAGTTTGCCTTAATCTAAGTAGGAATTATCATTAGCTATATATATATATATATATATATATTTTTTTTAATTCCAAAGTATCAGATTTTTGACCATAAATTTTCTGAGAATAAAAAGATTAAATATTTGAATTTAAAAAGTCAACTTACCCTAAAAGCTTTCCACACATAATTTAAAGATTTGAATTTTGCTTTTTTTTTTTTTTTATTATGATCCCAGCAAATGTTACACTAGAGAAAATGATTGGGAAAATACAAATAGATTCATTAAAAACACAGGCTGATTATTCATTTCTACTACATTCATAAGTATGCAAAACAATTCAGTTATATTGCAAAGCTGTAATTCCTTTTCCTAACAAAGCATTACTTTATAAAACTGTAGTGTTGTACTGATTCAATTTTAATACAAAATACTTATATACATAATACAATATAAAAGTAAACCGTGGTATATAGTGCCTTCACAAGGGATCTATTAAGGCGCTTTACAAATATACCATTATATTGACCAAAATTACTTTTTGTTTTAGATTAAAACAAACAGGCTAAATGTTTTACTTTAAATACCAAAGGGATTTTTGTTTATTTTTGTTTATTAAAGAAAAATGTCTAAAGTACCTTAGGTAACAGCAGCAGCAATATCTAAAAATCCTCCCACTGTATTCTCTAATTTCAACATATTATTAAGTCAGAATAAATCATTTCCTCTCACAGTTTTGCACTTTGCAACAGCAGAAGGTTATAACTTTTTAAAAAAGTCAATTTCAAAGTGACTTCTTAGTCATACATTCTATAGTTTCTATTACAAATAAGGTAGAAAAGATATAGCAACAGGGCCTGCCTTCAGACATCACTGGACAATACATAACTGTATCTACAATTACATAATTACAGAACACATTTCATAAATACCATTGATATGCATAAAAGGGGAAAGTATAAGAAAGACAGCAAGTTTTTTTTTTTAATGAGTGGCAAAATTATTTTAAAAAGAAAACATGATTGGTCAGTGTTTTCACTCTATTTCAACTGAGAGCATATAGATTTTTGACATTGTTCTCATCTTTTTGGCAGGAAGCACCAGATTCCTACTGGAAGACTAGATATAGTTTGGGAATAAGTCAGCTTAATGTAGTTTAATAGTTTGGGAATATGACAGTACATCCAAACTGTTAAAAAAAATGCAGATACTAAAGGCTTGTACACTGCTTCATTTAAGTACAAAAAGTTTATACTGTCAGAGGAAATTTAAAAGGATACAGTATTTGTAGTGTCTGTTACATTTGAGGAATAAGGGCAACACAGATTTTGTGGGGAGAGGGAGAAGACAGCACCTTAGTTTTTCTACAATGTAACTGTAACAAAGTTGGTTCTGTACTGTATTGCACCATAATCCAGAAATAAAAACTAAATGGAAATTTCAATAAATCTGAGAAAGCCTGAAGAGCAAGGGGTAACAACAAAAGTTCTTGAACTAATTTGTTTTGCATAGAATTTTATAGGACTAATCAAATACTCCATGAAGTGAAGACTGCCGTCTTACACAGTGCATTTTCTCACAATTCTGAGTAGAGGTCCTTCAAAATATTTCTATATTAAGCCTGTAACAAGTCAAACATGTATGGTAGTGCCCTTAAAAGGGTGTGTTTAAAGTGAAGCGCTGTTCCAGAAAGAGAGGC